TAAATGACTCCTTCATAACCTATGGTGATTTGCTTTAGTCAATACTATATAACTCTTCTGTACCTTAGATTAAAGGGTCCCGCTTATATTTGCATTGCACTGGGCACATCTACATGAGATGCTACGTCACTGTAGCGACAAGCTACAGTGACATAGCGTCAACGGGCACTAACTGTGAGGAGGCTGCTACTGCACAGTAGCTTGTTTCTACTGTGCAGTAGGGTTGGAAACAGCCTGTGTGCCACTGGGACTGTGCAGTACCAACTGTGCAGTCAGGGGCATGTGTAGACACACCCGGTTAGTAGCAAAACTGCTATTGTTTCAGTATGGTTAGAATCAGGTTCAAAGAGCATAAACAATAGGATTCAGACCACACTTACACAGACCTTCAGTGCCTTCTCCCTTCCGACCAAAAGGCATAAAGAATCTTCTGCCTACAGTTGCTTAAATCTAATCTGCAGTTTCTAATTTGCAGTTCCTATTTCCGTATATATACCTTTTATGTTACAAACATCCATATTATTTGGCAATAGTCCTATCGTCTAATGTATTAATGCTTATAGTTATGAAGACATATTTGAGTTACAAAAATGTAAGGTATTGGAAATACCTACACCTCTATTTGGTTAATTTTTTGAAATGTATATTCTATAATTTATGTTCTAAAAAGAGGTCTGTTTTCTGTCTTTTGGGATCAAGAGTCCTGATGCAAAATACACTGGGATCAATAGAAAGATTTTTATAGACTCTGGCTTTAGATCAGGTCCTTGGAGAGGGACTGCAATGTACTTTCAGAAAGCTGGAGACACATTCTAGGACTTGTGAAGGAAAACAAGGGAGGAAGTTTTTGAAAGATCAGGAAGCAAGGAGAAGCCACTCTTCAGAAGGAGAGAGAGAAGAATTCAGGTATCAGGAGGACAGATGGGAGGGATCATGGAAAGGATATAAAACTTGTTCTGCAATTTTATGTAAGGTTTAAGTTACATTTCTAGAAAGGTACGACATTCAGGTGGGTTCTCTTTTTAACTTAACTGGTTCATCAACCCCTGACCTCTCCAGAAAGGGGAAATTAGATTAGTTAGTAGGCAGCATTATCCATTTTCTCTAGTGAGAAAACTATGTTTTGAAAGGCTACTAGTCATTTTTATTTTCTCCCAAAGGGAAAATAGTCCAAAGTTTGTTTCTATGATTTGTTAGAGCACTAGTTTTCAACCTTTTTAGATTCAGAGCACCCCTCAGAAGATGCCAACTCTTAGCTTTTACTCATTTTTTAACTATGGAAAATTAAAGTAAAAATGTAAGTAAAGAGGTCTGTTGCAAAGAACTCAGAAAGACCACAGAAGGTCAGAATATTTTTGAAACTATACATTCATATTTGAAATCTTTGGGTTTATTTTGTGAATCCTATAGGTGTTGGTACATCTATTAGTGCTAATATTGCCTGGCACCCTGAGGCACCCTTAAAAGGATTCCATGGTAACTTAGGGTGCGGTAGCAACCTGGTTGAGAAATACTGTCAGAAGAAAAAAAAGAGATAACCAGAATATACTGAGGTTTCTCATGGTAGATTTCTTCTGTGAATACCTATTGCCTATGAAAATAGGGACTTTGTAACAGAAATACTGGCTGGTAGCTATTATAAAATACAGCATGCCATTTTCCTTATTTGCATTGCAATTTGTTTTACTGAAGCATAGTTTATTAATCATTAAATGAACCAAGTGAAGAAACAGGGCTTAGTTTCAGCACTCCATGCCATCACGATCCTTTTGACAGCTGTATCTAACGAAGATGAACAACTAGAATTTTTTGCTAGATTTCGTTGCTCAGATGCAAACCTATGCAAATGTTTCTGTCAGGTCCTGCATTTAAATAAACTGAGTTTTCATATGAAGAGAATGGTGTTATTTAAGAGGGACAAGGCCCTACCATTCTCTTTACTGTACAATTAGCTTCCCATTTATTCATATATTCCTTTTTCCATTGTGCCACACTAATACTTATGTTATGTCTTTGTAATTAACCTAATTATTGTGAAATAAAATAAAGAGCCTCTAAATATTCCACAAAATGGATGTGTTTACATGGGACACTACTGTGCAGTGGTTACTGTGCATTTATTTAGTATTTGTATAATTAAGTACTAAATAAATTCACAATAACCGGAGTTACTGTGAAGTAGCATTGGTGAGCACCTTTTTTAGCAATGCTACTGCACAGTAGCTTAATAATACTGTACACTAGCGTATTAGCACTGTTTGTGCTGTTATGCTCTACTGTGTAGTATTATTTAGCTACTGCGAAGTTAGCATCTCATGTAGACGTGCCCACTGTGGACATGTAACTATTCTCACCATGATAATCATGTAGAGTTCAGCATTATTTCTACAGCAGAGAGCTGAAACTCTATTTTTAAATGCCTTAGAGAAATCAATCTGGTGACAGATGGAGTGAAGAGGAATTAAGATGCAATTTACTCCCAGCTATAAAACTAGGACATTGAGCTACACTGAATTCCACTTCTACCTGTGGCCACTCTTCCAGCCTACAGACTGAATTGACAATGATAGCTTCTCTTTGTCTGTTGCATAATGTTATGGGAATATTGAATCTATATACATAAGAACCAGGCTTAAATCCGCTGTTGTTTTCTATGCAGGCCTATGTATTTATTATGGAGGGTGGAAGCACTGTTAGGGTGCGTCCCCATGAGCACGCACGTGCGGTTTGCATTGCACACGTGCAGTTTGCACTGCATACATGCATGTGTTCGCTGCACTGCTAATTTGCAGCACAGCGGGTTTTGTTGACACTGGAAACTCCCAGTGTAAAAAAACAACCCAAGCCAACCCCCCCCCCCCGCCAACCAAAACAAACTGGCATGACACATGTGGCTCCAGTGTGTATTGCCCAAAACTGGAGTCTGGATGGCCAGTCATGCTCTGGCTGCTGGCCAGGCTCTGCACACCCAGACTGCCGCTGCTGCAGTCCTGGGGGGCTCCTAAGATTACAGGTTTGGGCCAGCCCCCCTACCTGACCTGGGCCAGTTTTCCCCATATTTGTGCCACTGCTAGTTGTCCTCAGGGACATGCATGTTCCTGCTTGTGGGTTCCTGTGCTCTTAGAGTGAACATGCAGTAGCAGTGGACCTAGATTGGAATGGGTTCTTTCATTTCAAAGGGAATTCTGTGTTTTGTATTCAAAAGATAATGCAAATAAAACAAAATTTGCCACAGAATGAAAAAATGAATTCTGGCTGATCAGAGTCTTATGCTTCAAGAAAATCAAAATGTTTTGTTCTGGTTTTGACCTTTAAAAAAAACTTTGTAATTGTTTTTACTTCATTCTGAAAAGTCACTTCAGAATAAAAATTCAAAACGTTCCACTTGGAAAACAGTGAACAGGGATGTTTGAACGTCAAACCATTTTTTCCCCCCCAGATGAAATTTTATTGAGATTAGCACATTCTTCAAGCTCTGTGATTTCAACAAATCTCCCCTATACTTTCCACTGAAAAAGTATTTTGGTAAGAAATTACTAACCAGCTCTCCCCTGGAAACGCACACAATGAAGCAAATATTAGAGAGGGCCAGATCCTCAGCTAATAAAAGTCATCATAGCTCCACTGCATCAGAGCTACTCTGATATCTGGATATGATATTTCCATCTTTTGTAGATACCAAGGTCTTGATCTTCATTTCTCCAGGGAAGTCCAAAGCAAAAGGGGATTGAGTAATAAGGGTAGTCCTTGACTTACAACATTTTGAGTTACAACGTTTCGCACTTACGTTTATAAATTGACACCCGGTCTCAACTTTATGATGTTAGTTTCAACTTTACAATGCTTGATCCAATGCGACACCACACCAGCGAACAAGTTTGCTGTGTCATTCATCTCCCTGGAGAACATATGTCCAAACTTCCTTGGATACTTTTGTAAAGAAAGCAGACAAGACTCCAGAAAAATCTGCAGCCAAGACTCCTGAGAAGACTCCAGCCAAGAACCCTTCAAAAAGTTCAGCAGAGTCACCTCAAAGAAGTCCTTCCAAATCAATATGACTGCTATTTACAATATAAGTACATTAATGTAGCTATATTACTCATCTATAATTGATCGAGTACAAAATTCTGGGTTATTTTTGGTGAAAATAGGGTATCGGGCCTTGGTTCCGGAACTAATCCCCCATTTATACCATTGTTTCTTATGAACATTGGTTCCAAGTCACAACGTTTCTACTTAAGACGTGGTTTTCAGGAACCAATTGTGTTGTAAGTCCAAGGACTGCCTGTATTTCAAATAGTTTTCTTTCTTTCCTTACTGGGCATTCTTATGAGTTTAGGGCTATAAGAGTTAAGCACAAAAGCAGTGCTGAAAGTGGAACAGAATCACTTGTTTATTTCTGAAAAAAGTCTGATTTTTGCAGGAAAAAGCCAAATCCTAGAACAAAACTCAGCAATTGAGTAAAGAAAAAGGAAATTTTGTATCTTATAATGTAAATATCTGGTGCTTATGAAAAATGTACAGGTTTACAGAATGGCAGCATCAGAGACAAGAGAAGGGAGGAGGGAATATTTTTCATTTTCCACTCCCTGGTCCTCCCTTTCCGTCTTGAAACCCAGAGATAGGTTTGTCACATAAGTGCTAAAACCGCATTCAGATTACATATAGCTGAGTATTGATACTGAGAAAGCTGAGGTGAGTGATACCAGTGGCAGTAGGGACTGTGGCATTGGAAGTAACTGGATAATGTAAATGCTTGGACTTGGGAGGGATTATGCGCTTCACTTAAGTCTGTTATTACTATAGGTAGAGGTGGGTGAAAACAGATGTGGATGGGCACTTTTGGGCACACTGTCAATGATGGAGAATTGCTCCTTAATGTTAGTCACACACACACACACACACACACACACACAC